GGTTTGAAAACCATATTCTGAAACTTATCTCGAAGTTCCTCTTATTTCACAAGCCTTACTTATATTCTCTTCTCAATTTTCCAGAAATCAGTTCTCAATATTGCATAATCTCCAATTATCAACAATACCCTTTAGGTTTACCATTACATACTATAATGCACTTCCAAATACAAAATAACATAAATATATATATATATAATTTAGCAATCTATATATATATATATATATATAATCATACATACTAACTCCATAGTCATATAATTTCAAAATAAGTGATATGGTAATTTAATCCATGAAATTAATGTTATTACTAACCAATGAACACTCACACGTGTTTTCACATGAATTCCATAAAATACCGTATTCCACAATGAAAACATTATGCTTCCATACAAAACCTAAAACCATTCAATCCATATACTTAATTTATAAACGTAATAATATTAATTAATGAAGAAATAATAACCTCCAGAGAAACTCCCATAACTTCAATTATTGATGCACTGTCCAAGAATTTCTATAGGATACTATAAAACAATCCTCTAACCTGAGCAGGGTCAAAATAACCTAACTTCCGGTGAAGATTACCCAGTCGTTCTAACACTTTTCGAAGGATACACTACCTTGGAAGACTCATGGTCAACAAAGGGATCAAACTGCCTAAACTTAGTCAACCGGGCCCAGGACCTCCGATCACAAATTCGGGAGTTCTTATAGGTTCAGCATACTCTTCTAAACCCGCCCTACAAGTTTGGTCTGTATCCGGGACTCCGATTCACGATCCGTCAAATCCTATACGATCCTAAAAATATGAGGTACAACATACGTGAGTTTGAGTTCGATCCAACGGTCTGAACCTATCGAACTCGGAAATCGCACAATAGGCGAAATCCGTTCGAGGCTCAAACGGTATCCGAATTGGAATCCGAACACACCTACGCGCTCGTGACCACTAGAAGATCACATCTGGGCACGATTGGAGCCACTTTTGTTCTTGGTCATACCCCGAAAAATGACCGGAAGTGGCTGTAATTTCATCCCGAAATTCGGCCAAACTTTAGGTCGAAAATCAAGTCACCTACGCTAAAAATTGATCCAATCCTACCCAACCATCAGTTAGAGCACGAAAAATAGGTGAGAAACCATACATTACTCGTCAGATTTGGTGGCCGAAGGAGGGAGAACTAATTTGGAGAAGTTTGAGCAAAACCCGGCTCGTTTTGCGGTGGTTCTGGCGGATTTGCAAGTGGCTGACGGCGGAAATGGACAGGTGTGAGACGACGGGGTTGAGCCGGTCCGTTTGGCTCTGGTGACGTGGCCTCTAGTGGCCGGGAGCGACGGCTGCCATGGGAGGGGGGGTGCCGGCTGAAGCAAAACGAAGGGGGGAGGGGGGTTCCTGGTCGCGGGGAGAGAGAGAGAGAGAGAGAGAGAGAGAGAGAGAGAGAGAGAGAGAAAAGGAGAAGAAAAAATAAATAAATATTTGACTTTTGCAAAATTTCAATTTTGCCCCTCTAAGTATTTTGATTGTATCTTCCTTAATACAACTCGGATTTGAGCCCACTACGTGTCTACGGACTCGTTTCGATGTGATCTACGCAATGGTATAGTCGGAATTCCTGAATTCCTTCCAGAACTTAAAATGACCCTTTTGGCCCTTTTAATATTAATTAATATTTTAATTTTCAAAAACCTTAATTAATTCAAAAAAAAACATTTTATTTTATTATTTATTTCAATTAATTTTCTCATTTAAACTTATTTCCTCTTATTTTAATTATTTAACCTTCCTCGAATAAAAAGTCAACTCTTAAATCCTTTAAATATTCCCGGGGTGAAATTGTCTTTTTCTTGAATAATTTAATATTTAACTATTAATTTAGGACCGGGTTGTTACAGGTTGGTGTATTGCATAGCATTAGCTGTTGGATTTCACTCAAAACTCACCAAATGACTCCTCCCACTGTATTATGATGTTGCCCAAGCTTTGGGCTAAATCCAATATCGATTGGTCAAAGAAATTGGACATTTGAAGTTCGTATGAAGTTCGTTTCGTAAATGGAGTGGTTGGTGTATTGCATAGTTTTAGCGATTGGATTTTACTCAAAACTCACCAATTGACTCCTCTCACCTTATTATGATGTTGCCCAAGTTTTGGGCTCGATCCGAAATCAATAGGTCAAAGAAATTGGACACTTCAAGTTCGTACGAAGTTCATATTATAAATGGAGTGGTTGATGTATTGCATAATTTTAGCGATTATTTTACTCGGCCACATACTAAATTTGAGTCTAACGATCAATTTAATTGTCGTCACTCTTATATATACTCGGAGGGTTGTAAGTAGAGCCACCGCACACAAAATCAAGACCGACACTCATAAGTGATTATCATTCTAACCATGGGGATTCATCTTAAGAGTCAACTTTTAATTCATTACAAGTATGATTTATTTAGTGGCCATACTCAATTATTGGTCACTACAACCCAAAGAATTAGTGACTTCATGTGTGTGGTCACTAATAAAATCACTCTCAGTGACCACAACTTTGGTCATTAAAGGGCGACAATTTGGTCACCAAAACATGCATTTTGGTCACTAAAACAAGGTCACGTGCCCATATTGCTGACCAAACTGGTTGGTCACTAAATGTCTATAGAACAATTGCTGACTAATTAGATTCATTTACTTTGTTCTTTATTAAAACTATAAAATCACATCATACAGTCTACTAAAGATAAAATTTTGATACCTAAAAAAAATGTAAAAAATAACAAAATGGGCATCATATATCATTTATAAAAAAAAACTATATATATATCAACATTCCTCCAACAAATTCACAAGACACATATCTCTCACAAACAAAATCTAAAAATAAATTGATAAATGTATTCCGCATCTTGAATTAGTAGGAAGTTTCTCCATTGTTGAGATGGCCCCTCTTGATGCTTTTGCTGTGTAATGCTCATGAGCTCATTCCTACAAACACAACCAAATACAATGAACCTACTGCTCGAAAAACCCTTCTCTATTGTCTACCACACACATATTTTAGCTAAACATGCAACAAGGAGAAACAAAAAGGAAAAAACAAAACATCAACAAGACAAACTAATAAGACTGGATCATCATCTTAACAAATAGAAAGAGAGAACCATTAAACTAAAAGAAAAATTCATGAGTGAGACACAGAGAGAGAGAGAGGGAGAGAGAGAGAGCAACTAAAAGATAATATTGAAGATAAAGTCAGCCAAAAAAAAAACCTGGAAACTTGAACCATAGAAAACAATTGTAGTAAGATAATATTGAAGATAAACTTTGCTGATATACTAGAAACTTAAAAATGAAGCTAGCCAAATTAAATCTGATGGGTTTATATTACCATAGAAAACAATTGTAGTAAGATGAGAGTTGTAAGCTAACCCCATTGACGATGAAGTCGAGGATAACTGATCCAGGATGACCAAGCCTGCATACCCAAATAAAACATTGTTTTACTTCCTTGAACTAATAATATATATGCAAAACTATAACTAATTATGTCCAAATGACATACCCATTGTAGGCTTTGAATGCCATGTTCTGATAGCCAGTTGAACTCAAAGTCTGCGAAGATTTCTCACCAAACTTATAAGGAACCACATCATAACCTATAATAAATCATGTCAATAATTATCTTCAACAGACAAACATGTATAGGTTAGGTTATAAATTTCACAGCAGAACCTACAGAAAAAGAAGATGCTAGAGCCAATGATGTAAAAGGCATATAAAACTAACAATATATGTGTATAAGAGGTCATCATGATTACCTTTTCCATGGCATAACAAAAGCGGCAAGGAGGCAGCATGCACTTAGATTGCATGGGTATGGATTACCATTCCCATATTTTCTTAGAGTAAAGCAAGTCGCAGAGTATAGGGCACACTACTACAAAAAGAGAAAAAGACGACGGCATAACATAAAACCGTCGTTGTATTTAAACCAACAACGGTATAAAAAAAAACCGTCGTGGATAAGTGTCTTATTGTTGAATATTTTTAAAAGACGACGTATACAAATAAAAAAGCGTCGTTTTTTTAAAAAGGATTTCTTCAGAGTTAAAATCTGACCAAAAAACAACGACAACAGGTATGAATTCACTGACGTAGAAAATAAAGACGACAGTTCACCAAAAAACCTGCCGTGTTAACTCCTAACTAAACACGACCAACTGTTCTTAATCCGCGTCGTATAATATAACGGAATCCACGTCTGTATACTACGACGGTGCCTTCTCTGTAAACCGCCGTCTTAATTTTTATAGTAAATTGAGCTTAGACCCATAAAATTCATTTGTAATCACCTACAACCCTTTCCTTTATTTTTCTATTTAAAATACCCAATTTTTTCAAGTAAAACCCGCTGACTAGGATCCAAGTAAGCAAGTTACCTAATCTAGCTTAAAATCTGATTTATTCTATTTTTCGGATTCCAAAACTACCCGTATTTACAAGTTAACGTGTTATGTGGAGGTGTAACTAATGACACACGTTGAATTTGGAAAGATCTTGAAATGGTTGTAATGGATGTAGGAATTAATTTAGAAACTGATTTGAAATTAAATATTAAATTCAACATTAACATATTAGAAACGTTTTGGTTTATTTTATGACAAAAAAAAAACGTTTTGGTTTATTAAATAAATGTGTGTTGTTGTTTTCCTTTTATGAATTATACTACTAGTAATCTATTTTATTATAGTTTTATGAAATTTTTTTTTTTAAATGAACCTATTTTTTCTCTAAATAATGTACCTATTTTTTTTCTCTAAATTATGTACGCTTTTTTCTCTGAATAAAGTACCTATTATTTGTTTTATGAAAAACAATTTTTTTAAATGAACCTATTTTCTCTCTCCAAATAATGTACCTATTTTTTTCCTCTAATAATATACCTAGTAAAACAATGTACGTATTTTTTTAAATGAACCTATTTTTCCTCTCCAAATAATGTACCTAT